TCAGTATTTTAGTTAAGTAATATCTTATAATACTTGAGTTACAGTCAATAATTTAGCTAAGTAATATTCTATAGTACTTGAGTTGCACCCAATATTTTAGGTAAGTTATATTCTATAATACTTGAGTTACACCCAATATTTTAGTTAAGTTATACTTTATAATACTTGAGTTGCACCCAATATTTTAGGTAAGTTATATTCTATAATACTTGAGTTACAGCCAATATTTTAGGTAAGTAATATTCTATAATACTTGAGTTACAGTCAATATTTTAGCTTAGTAATATTCTATAATACTTGAGTTACAGCCAATATTTTAGGTAAGTTATATTCTATAATACTTGAGTTACAGCCAATATTTTAGGTAAGTATTATTCTATAATACTTGAGTTACAGTAAATAGTTTAGGTAAGTTATATTCTATAATACTTGAGTTACAGTAAATATTTTTGCTAAGTAAAATTCTATAATACTTGATTTACAGTCAATATTTCAGCTAATTAATATTCTATAATACTTGATTTACAGTCAATATTTTGAGCTAAGTAATATTCTATAATACTTGAGTTACAACCAATATTTTAGTTAAGTAATATTCTACAATAATTGAGTAACAGCCTATATTTTAGCTAAGTAATATTCTATAATACTTGAGTTACAGTCAATATTTTTGAGCTAAGTAATATTTTATAATACTTGAGTTACAGCTAATATTTTAGGTAAGTTATATTCTATAAAACTTGAGTTACAGCTAATATTTTAGGTAAGTAATATTCTATAAAACTTGAGTTACAGCTAATATTTTAGCTAAGTAATATTCTATAATACTTGAGTTACAATCAATATTTTGGCTAAGTAATATTCTATAATACTTAAGTTACAATCAATATTTTGGCTAAGTAATAGTCAATCATACTTGAGTTACAGTCAATATTTTAGCTAAGTAATATTCTATAATATTTGAGTTACAGTCAATATTTTAGCTAAGTAGTATTCTATAATACTTGAGTTACAGTCAATATTTTTGCTAAGTAGTATTCTATAATACTTGAGTTACAATCAATATTTTAGCTATATAGTATTCTATAATACTTGAGTTACAGTCAATATTTTAGCTAAGTAATATTCTATAGTACTTGAGTTACAGTCAATATTTTAGCTAAGTAATATTATATAATACTTGAGTTACAGTCAATATTTTAGCTAAGTAATATTCTATAATGCTTGAGTTACAGTCAGTATTTTAGCTAAGTAATATTCTATAATACTTGAGTTACAATCAATATTTTGGCTAAGTAATATTCTATAGTACTTGAGTTACAGTCAATGTTTTGGCTAAGTAATATTCTATCATACTTTTGAGTTAAGGCCACGATTCTTGACATTTTAGTACATGTATGTTTTTATTTTTCAGCTAGTTTTGAAAACCCAATAAAGAAATGTGGTATTGAAACTTTGTTGTTTTACCAAAAGATGTTCCACATTGATGACGTTGACGATGATGATGTAGTAGAATATGACGATTTAGTCTCTGAAATTCAAAGATCTGATTCTAATAATGATGGTATTTGGACGTATGAAGAAGCACTGACAGACGTCGACTATGAAAACGTCACGGAAGAGCACTTTCAGTCATATGACCACAACGGAGACGGTCATATTTCAATTCAAGATGCCCGGCTCGTCTTCGAGTTACTACCAGGAACTGGAAATGACCTTAATTTGGAGGATTTCCTAATTATCCAAGCTACACTAGAAGACAAATCACAGGGACCAGAAATAGATATTAAAGCCTTTGTCCATGCCGTGAAAGATTTTAGAATCATCGATATGGATGACGATTTCATTTTGACGAGGAAGGAATTTAGAATGAGATTCAAAAGCGCTGATAGGAATAAAGACGGGCAGTTGACGAGATCAGAAATAAGAAATCTTTTTCCAATGAGAAGCACCCCTCCACCAAATATCTGTGGAAATTGGAATGTCGGCTGCTCACAAGATGACGCCATGGCGTTATTTGATTCAGCAGATACGGAAAACAGGTCGCAACTTTCTATTGATGAATATATTCGACATTTCGGTCCCTTGGTTAAAATTTAAGATGGTATATACAGTCAAGTAACCTAATTTCGTGGAAACCTATTATTCGTGGATTTCCGGAAAGGATTAATACTTTACATGAGCGACCTTGCGCGACCTCCGCATTAGTTTGTATTGATGAATATATTCGACATTTCGGTCCCTTGGTTAAAATTTAAGATGGTATATATAGAATCCAATTGTGTTTGACCAAACATTATGAAATAAAATACTTTCATTGAATCTTTCAAATCATTTCCTTCAAACGTATTTTAAACCATAAAAAAGAATAGATTCGACCATTGTTATCTGATATTATTCTGGTCTCACATTAAGGCGAATATTCTTGCCAATATGAATATTTGAATTTCGCTGTGAATTAGCCCAAAAATTGCGATTGGATAGTGAATATTTTCACCTCGGTCACCAGTCGATGAATTGATGAAATTTACTTGAAAAAATCGAAAAATGTTTCATAAGAGTAATTGACTTTGTTCGTGAAAACATCTTTCAAATTTTAGCTTTAACACTAAATACGTCGGCGAAACCCAGAACGCGTTGCGAACTCGATTTAGCGGCCATCGCTTTGATATAATTCATAGCAAAAATAGACCAATTTCTCACCATTTTAATTTACCTGACCATTCCATTGAAGACCTACTTATCATGCCTATTGAATCAATTCCTGACTCTGATCTTATCAAACCAAAAACCAAACGATTACAGAGAGAAAGCTACTGGATGGACCAACTCCAAACAGTGGCTCCAAATGGACTTAACATCCAGCATGATAATCAAATGATTCCATTTGTTGCCACCTTTAATCATACAGCTGCCAAAACCTCACCCATCGTCAAACAGTATTACAGTGAATTACAGAACAGATTTCCGAATGTATATACCAAACGACTTGTAATTGCCTATAAGCGCAATAAAAACCTTAGTAATTTTCTGGTCCGTGGTAGACTCGATCCCATTGAATCCAATAATACTTTACCCCCTCTCTATTTTCTAGCTCATTAAGTAT